CGCTGGACACGCTCAATGAGGGTGACGTCTTTCGTGCGTCCTGAGTAGACAACTTGGTTGGCGTATTCCAGGAGCGGTCTGACGTAGGCCCATAGAGCGTTTGGAAGTCCATGCGAGTAATACGGGAGAAGGTGCTTCGGATCATCCGTAAAATGGCTGATGCCTTCCGGGCCAATTTCTCACGATGCGATAAGAAGGACGAGTTTGAGGAGCCTCAGATCCCCGAATCCTTTTTGGCATCCATCCTCATGATGTTTTCTGGTCCTTTTTCACCATGCATAACAAAGGTTAAGATACGTGAGAATGTATGGGACCGACCTACTATGATGGGTGTCGAGACAGTTTTTGGGTAGCAATGCAGACGACGGAGCTTCATGACTGGGTCAGGCGGTCGTAATCCACATATGGTCCTTTCTCACCATGCATAACAAAGGTTAAGATACGTGAGAATGTATTGCAGGGACCTACCATGATGGGTGTCGAGACAGTTTTTGGGTAGCAATGCAGACGACGGAGCTTCATGACTGGGTCAGGCGGTCGTTTGTAATCCACATAATCGGGGGATAGTACCGTGTGTGGCAGCGCAACCAAAACAGCGGGATTTAGTTCACGCGGGATGGAAGGGCTGTAGAAGTTTTTAAGAGACAGGGAATGACAGGGTACGGCAGGGGCATTGAGAGGGCGGGGTGGATCTGTTCTGTAAAGCCTTCAGACTCGAATCGCAGGGAGCGGAGGGAACGGGTAGCTGAACTGGGCTGATGGGAGGAGATAGAATAAAAGGTTTATGGTAAGAGGTGCAAAATAAGGAGAGGAGACAGTGTGCAGTGATGAATTTAGTGGTATAATCAAACTCTTTTGGAGGAGTGAGCTCCGTTGGGGTGAGCAGGAACCCTCTGCGTTGGCTGTAGTTGAAGGGTGTTTGGAATAGGAAGTTGAGATACAGGTATAGGTCGTAGAGGCGGAGCTGTACGTGACTTTGGAGGGGGCGGAGGCTGTGGTGGAGTAGGTAGGTGCTGAAAAGAAATCCCGGACATATAGTACGCGGGATTCTAGAGGGGCGGAACTTGATAGGGGCTAGGATTATGTAACGGTAGCTGTGGTTGAAAGATCCTGTCGGGTAACTGGGTAGAGGGGCTACATATGTGTTTATGAGGAATTACGGATTTAGCCAGGTCTGTAGAGGAAGGGCGAAGGGCAGTAGCTCGGGGAGTTGGTACAGGAGAAGTGGTCGCGTTGCGAGGCTTGGACAGCGGGTGCCTGAGTCCAAGGAAGCGCTTTGGTGTGGAGACACGAAGTGTCATTAGGTGAGGAGGTCTGGAGAGAGACTCACTACAGCCTCATGTGTGGGCTGTCTAGTTACCGTATCTCTTTAATCAGCAGTCTATCTTGTTGGCGTGAAAGAGGTCAGAGGCAACATTTGTGGTGGCCCAGAGGTAGAAGTGGAGGACTCATGGTCAGGAGCGTGGGGTACAGATGCCAACAGGCAGCTTTGTATGACACCGTGGCACTCGCCCGCGCAGGTGCCGGTTGCTAACGGGGCAACAGGTTCAGGTAACATTTTGGTAAGCTGTCTTTGCATTCTAGTACGGCTAGCTTTAATTTTTCAGGTATGAAATTTTTAGGTGGAAGAGAGAAGAATCTGAGCTGTTAGCAGACACGCGGCATTCTTTCATTCGGAGTTGCATTATTATCGGGAAGCGCATGGACGGTTTCGACATCCAGAACCGCCAAGCTGTGCACATGGTGTCCTGCATGTTATATGCAGTCAGGCGGGCAGTTTTGGCATGCTCCAGCCGGATTCGATCAGGTGTATTGAATATTAAGACATGATGCCGACATTCCATGCGTTGACAAATCTCAGAAGCAATCGTGTCAATAGGCAGTGACCCTTTTTATAGGTTGGTTGGATCACATGTTGTGTCAGGATTCAGAGGGTATGCAATCGATTGTATGGTTTTGAGGGAGGACATTTCGTTTTCCACCTGAGACAAGATAGTGCTCGCAACTTTCATCTGCCAGACACCAGAGCACCCAGCGTTTTATTATTTCATTCGCGGTGTTCGGACTTTTAACCATCCGATACAAAAATTAATTCCGCTGAAACAACTAGACCCCGATTTCGGTGGAGCGTTTTTTTAAACAACGTTCACTATCCATCTTAGAGAATATAACGTGGATTTTGTGAGAGTTCCGCCCTGATTTCAGCCACAGTTGCAGATTGGCATTTAGGGCTCAAGAACTGTCACCTAAAATTCAGTTATTCCACACCATCCCCGCCGCTTATTCAACGATTTTGATCTATTTTGCTTCTGGCGGCTGGAACCAAATATCACATTCCTACGCCATCTGCTGCTCAAAAATTCAGTTATAGCGACGACTGGGGTGAATTCAACTTTCCGGTCACTCAACTTTCTGGTTATAAATTCCGTACCCCCAAAAACTCGAGTGTGTTTTACCCTCAGCTCCCTCCCCAGCCATGAAATTGTTCGCTTTCCTGTGACAATCACCCTTTATAACGCATTTTGCTACACCATCTCAGAATAATCTCGATGTGTTGAGTATTTATCCTCCAGCCTGAAAATGTAGTCCCACGCATCGAAGAGAGTTAAGTCAGTCTTTACAACAAAGTAACTGGGTTGACCAATCGTGCAATGTTCACTCCTACCTGGCAATTTTGCTAGCCAAAGGCTGGCACACCTCAGGAACAACTCAATCAGAAATTCTACCTATGCCACTACATGACCCATTGGGGGTAATCTGCATGTGTGCGTATACTCTTTTTTACACTGCTCCCGCTCCTATACCTGTTGTGGTTCATCCTCAGGCGACGTGCCAGATATGGATTATTTACACGGCTTGTATGCTGCTCCCCGTTATCTCCACAGGACGATGCTTTTCCAACCAATTCGCTTCTCACTCGCACGCTTCAGCCTCCTGATCGTATGTTATGTCCATGACAGCGTGATCAATACGAAATACACTAGAAGCCAGCCCCCAAGTCTCGAATTTTTTTGGAAAACTATTATCTCAGCCCACATAGCATTCATCTTGACCGGCGCTGCAACACTCTGTACACGACCTTCAATAAAGCACTGTATAATTTGCGAATACTTACTAAGCGTTATCAAGGCAAACAAGCCGTCCTCCGAGGTGTCGCCATGCTTTTTCAGGTACACTAAGCTCCACCTTGCCGGCCTTCGCCCCTTGGTGCGACGGCTAGTCCGACATGAAGCACTTTAAATTCCTCCGATAATACACGCCGTTCGGTTACACACGAAAGAAAAGGGAAGGGGCAGCCGAAGCTGACATATCTGGAGCTAGCAAACGTTCACCCGCCGTACTATTCTGGCATGCCGCACGGGCATAAAGGCCAGCGAAAATCCGAACTCCTGAGTACCCACTAGATCCAAGTTGTTCACCAAACTCGGTGGTATGCATCCTCAGGGCCAACTGCTTTTAATCGGTACACCCATTATCCTTTTATCACTCCGCAAGCGGGCTCCCATACGTGCGAGTAATTACATCACACTGGACTCCCCTTCAGCTAAACATGCCTTGTCCATCCTTTGATTTAACAAGGAAGTGACATTCATCCGTTTTTCCAGTGCGGCCGCACAAATAGGTGAAAGACTATCAGAGTCAAAAAGCCATGGGCTTCTTCATTTTGAACAAACCCATTGAAACTAACGGGACATCGGCTGCTCCATCTCCTCTCACTTGTTGTCGGTCAGCCAGCCAGCTATTAAGCAAGTTAATCAGCCAGTTGAAGGAGTGGGTAGATAACAGGCTACCGAAACTTCCATCATCCACCGCTAAACATTTAAACATTTCAAAAGGTGTGCCGGCTCCTTGACATGCATGGAGGTGGTGTTTACTCCTCCTCATTGTCGAAAATTAGTTCAATCTGTCCGTTGTTCCTGTACTTATCTCGCCAGGTAAGCCAGTGCATGCATTGACCAATCTAAATGGGTATATTTTAAACACGATTAGGCGCTTTTTCCTTGAATTATTGCAGCTTCATCCGGTGTTATATGCACGCACGTGCCATCACCAAATGTTTAGCTCTGCAACATTTTTTTGGTGTCTTCCTCAAGTAAACTGGGTTACTCCATGCATTATCTAACCGAAGGCGTATAGCATTAACCTGCGTCGCGTCCCAGTGTGGAGAACAGCCTCAAAACGTCAACCCACTTCGTGCCAAAACGTTTCACGACGCGACAATTTCCCTTTAGGGGTGACGAGATACCGACCCACGCTGCTTTGTGTCTAGGTCAAAGATGTGTCATGGCGATCCTAGTACTTCCAAGGGAGCCACTAGTGTATCTACCAAGCATCTAATGTTACCATGCTCAGAAACCCCCCACATATTCACCCTACATGCTTTTTTTCCAAAGAAGGTGACGCCATCCTTTTCCCGACATCTGCTCAAAATGAAAGCATGATAGTTCGGACCATGTTAAACGCTTCTCTCTTTTGGCAGTCTACAATTCCCAAAATGAAGCGATCATCTTGGATATAATCTTCTGTGGCATTTTCTACCCAGTTTGTTCTCCACTGTATTCCACTTCTGCCCATTGCCCTGATAGAGTGCGCCGGCGTCACTTGATTTCTTGGGTGAAGCAAGAAGCAAATGTGCTCGAGAGGTCGCTCCAAAATGACGAGTGGTGNATGCAACCACGAGTGGTGCCGTAATCGGCATTCCCTCTACTCCGAAAGAAAGCCGTCGCCAAATCCGTTCCCCGGGAAACTGCAAAATTCAAAGCGGTACCACATGCAATTGCAGCCTCTTTTGGCTCGATCCATATAACCCGTTTTACCAACTTCTCCGAAACGCGAGCCTCCGGGGTCAGTCACATGCTGTTTCTACACTGGTGGACGGGTGGAGAAAGGCGAAACTTTTTCTCTTCCACAGGATGTCTACTCCGGTATAAACGCCAGGACGAGACGGTTAACGCTCTTTTCACCTTTACGAAGGCGAAGTCGACCGCTAGGACTCTCATTGTATTTACAGTGCCTATTCAGATTTCGAATCGTGTATTGATCTCACAATATACAGTGTGCTAGTTACCCCTTTACGAAATATTCTGGTTTGAAATCGGCCATAATAATTCATTCGGAAGCCACTATCAGGAGTGATAAAACCCATTCCCCACGAGTCTTTTACCTGGCTCTGAACACTGAAGTGTACCTACGAGCGCTTCTCTTCCCATAAATGAGCAAACCTGATGGACAATGTGTCTACTAAGTTATTTGCTATTCGTTGTTCCCTAGATGAGAATCAACCGCGTCTGAGTGGGATCAGTAAGACGTTCTGTATTAACAACTGTTCTCTGACCCGATCTTAAGGACATCTCTGTGAACCAACGAGATGCCCCAGACCCGTGGATCCGAGTTCAAATTCTTCATTTATTCTACGGAATGTTTTTCAAGGTCGTTTGTATTATTGTAGATTTACGAAAAGTTCATTTCAATGATGTCTTCGCTGGGTGCTGACAAATGAACAGTCTAATACAACCAATGGTGGATAGTGACTCTGGTCTTTCACTCAGTATGAACGGAAGCCAGACGGATGCTCCCTACCAGGGGTTGATTTTTATTCGTATTACATGTCCCGAATTAGGAGTCGAGGTGAGAAATGTTTAGTCAGTGAATTAAAGCCATGTTTAGGGAATCCACAGTTTTAGCCCAGACGCAATAATTTATGACGTTAAAATTGGTGTACTGAAGGAGATTTCTCAGCCAATAAAAGACAAATGGAATTTCGGATTATTTCTTCCTCCTTCAAAAGGCAAAGCAGGAAAGTTTCTACAAGAAGACAGAACCTTAAGGGAATATCCTTTCGAAAATTCTGTTGGCCACCTTGAAGTAACTTTGATCTTACCTCACTCCATTTGTGAAGCTGAAATACAAACAAAGGGTTTATCGGGTGTTGAAAACGAATGTGAACAAACTGAAGAAACTGCATATCAAGGTGAGGCTGGCTTGTTAGGGATCTAGATTTTGACTTTGGTTTGTAAACAGGCTCATTCGGTTTCTAGCATCGCCAGTTTGGCTTGGGCGTCATTTGACTTACACGGGGTAGTATTTTTCTGGTCGAATTTAACTGGTGGAACTAAAAAGTTGGAAATGCTCCACCTGAGGAAGGGTCTCCTACCACAATTTTGAGTTATACAGGCTAGATGCGGGTGCCATTACCAGATTAAAAGTGTTCCACAGATTAGATTTAGACGGTCGGTGGTTATACGGACAACAGTCATAATGCGTGTGTTGTGGACTATTTTTTATCTGCCGCGGGGTTTGTTTCCACCGGCCAGAATAAGTAGCTGGGGCTATGTATATTTTCAGCCTTACGGTATCTTACAAGGTGTCACTTGATGTGGGCAGCTGAGTATGTACCAAAACAACAGCCTGCAATCACAGTGATCGCTCAATAATTCAATAATTTGTTCTCGCTTTTTTGAGTGGTTTTACCAGCACGGCATCAATCACTAGTCATAGTTTACGGTTTGATCAACACAATAAAGGACGATTTGGTGTACGTTATGATTGGAATGCTGTGTATGATGCATTCAGGTGATCAGGAATCCAGAATTACATCTACGAGAGGTATACCAGCTGTGCTGATGGTTTTCTGGACCTGCAACTTTTTTTTACTACGTGTGTTGCCTTAGCGGATATGAGGAGATAGTTTCATCCATTCTATGTGAGCAGAAGTTATTTCGCCGTAGGAAGCCAACGGATTCTCTTGCGACCACATCTGCTCCTGTAGCATTCGGCTTGGATGATCGGTTATCTTGTAAGGAAGGGACAAAATCAATATGGCTTGATTTCGTCGGCAAAGATTTTGCAAGGCGGCTGATGAGCGTAGGCAACTGATGAGTAGAAAGAATAGTGAGGATTACCTACCCTGCATTTCTGAATTTTTTTCAAAAACAGGTGCCTTTGGAGTCGCAATTTGCATAAAACCTACTACATTTTAGGTAGGAGCTCTGTAAGCCCTAGTTAACTATCTCTTATCAATTCTCTGTAGACCCCTCAGGAGTTTTCAATAAAGTTTAATGAAAAGTCTCGTGGTATATCCTGTAGTAGAGATCAAAACTGAACTATGATTTTCGGAAGTTAGCGAATGAGTAAACATTCACAAGCCAGCAACCTTTGACCATAAGATCACAAGGTGCGTCCTTTCAGTAGCAGGTACTCACTTGACCCCCTAATGAAACATAAACTCGAATCATCTAGCTGTGCCGCAGCTCTGATGCGTGTTTTATATGCAGACTGGAAGAAGTTGAGGTACTATTTGGTACATCCGGTACTAGAGGATTCTGCTTATTGTTCCGCAAAATTTATTCAGCTGAGTTTACGGACCCAACCACATTGGTATCCGAACTGATGGGAAATATCTGCTATGTATACCATAAGCAGATGTCGGATTATCTCATCACTGTTGAGAATCTATTACTAATTGCACGCAAATCAGCCATATTGCATTTTGTATCAATAAGTGGCCATCAGTTTTGGGTCAAAAGGCATTCCTCCTTGTTTAGTTACTAAGTGTAACTTGACTGTGCTGCCGGTTTTAGACTGATTAAAGTGCACAGTTGTTCGCAACGAGCACAGACAGATAAATAAACTTCTAAAAAGTCTCAGCAGACTTCAATACATGGCCTGGATTGATTTGTTTCTTCACGCAAAAGACCTGACCCCCTCATATAAAATGAGATCCACAAAAAACAGTCACTCAGTCAGATTTGGACATCTTTTGGAACAGGCTGATTGAAGACAGGTTTTGGGTTCAATATTCTGGGCCTTAATTACGATGTGCTGCTTTGATTACCCTGTTCAGCTAAAGCGTCAGTTGTATTTTCTGACTTACACAACAAAACTATTCAAAGACGTGGTGTAGACATTTTGGCGATAGTGGTTTGGTTACGGTTGATGAAGGTTAATAATATCGCTGCCTGCACTTCCGTTTGCCTGCTTTTGGCAGCCATCCCAAAAAACAATCGGTTACAATGCAAACGATTTCTAAAGTCGGAAAACAGATAAAAAGTTTTAGCCGGATTTTTCGGCTATATCGGTTGGTGATGGCATGCATTTGCCGGTATTTTATGGCTTGTGTCCAGAAAGAAAAGCATGGCTAACATACGCCGCAGTACCCTCGATTGTGAGTCTACAGAAACCTTGTCTTAGAATGTTCGGAATTTTAACCCAGTTTGTATCCATATGGATATCATCCATTAGGAACACTTAAGTCTTTTCCTAGAAAATGTACCTTATCTGCCATCAACACCATCAGCAACCTTTTAGCTATCTGGACTTGGTCTCAAATTCCTTCGGTAGGCTTAGTTGAAGATCTACAATTCACTAGTGTTAACATAGGTCATTCATGTTTACTTGGTGACAATTCAGCTGCTTTTACCAGTATGATTGTTTAGAGCTGTAGAAAGTGATTTGAAGCACCTTAACTTCTTCAACCCCGTTAGCGCTACATGCAGGTCTAAAATAACTCGAAACCAGGTTTAATCCGAATATATCCAGACAAGGGACATACCCTGACGCCCCCTGTATATTTTTGTATAAAATACTGTGGTTTGTACACAGCTTTATGGAGGAAGTTTTATCTGAATGTGATGGATGGTTCGTAATTTTGGCTGAAACAAACTTAGTAGGTGTTTGTTATAAAGCTGCGCATTTCTAGCTGCACACTATGCAGAGGGTTAAATAATGTAATAGGGATTTCTGTCGTAAACAGATCAACCTGCTGGCAGCAGCATCCGCAGACTAGATAGCTCATTGATCCTCAGTTAATTGGGCGAACAAAATCAGATGGAAATGTCAATATAGCTTTAACCATAATCCTTTAAACAAGATTGTCACCGGAAGAGATATGATGCACTCTTCAGCAACAACCTGTTCATACGGTTCAATTCTGCAAGTCTGCCTTATTGCGATGGCGATTTTGAACACCGCGAGCACCTTCAATGTTGGAAACCAGAGGACGACGCCCGCATATTTAGAGCATAGACAGATATTCAAGGACCAAGAGAAGCAAAAAAACCAGACTGAGCACCTTAACCCGAAACGCAACACATACTTGAAGCTTTCACCGCTTTTCGCTCTATACCGTAAGAACGTCTTCATCAAAATATCATTATTTAAGATTGACCAGTGCAGGTTACAACGAAAATATTGTTTAGTTGCTAAATTGAGCTGCGGATTGACTGTTTGGATTTTTGACACGCGTGAGTCAACAAACAAGTAGTGAAAAAATGCAAAAATCTGGTGTAGTTCACATTCACAAGTTATTGTTATTGTATTCCAAGTATTGACTGTTTGGATTTTTGACACGCGTGAGTCAACAAACAAGTAGTGAAAAAATGCAAAAATCTGGTGTAGTTCACATTCACAAGTTATTGTTATTCCAAGTACGTACGAGTTCTTGAAGGTGGCTGGGCGCATGAATATTCTGAACCGCAAGTTGTACAATATTGTTGTTTTATGAGGAAATTACCTGACTAAGCCAACAGTGTCTCTCCCGGAACTGAATTTGCCTGGAAGCGTTATTAGTGCTAACATTTAGAGGGCTCTCCTCAGGGGAAGGAGGTCTTTTATCTAGACAATTAGAAGAAAACTAAATGTATAAATAGACGCTCAAAACTTAGTTTCAGACGTATGGCTGTAAGTTAGGTTTTGATGTTTTTTAGGCAGAAAAACTTGTGAATGCAATATAACTAGACCGATTGCAGATGAAAGCGGGTCGTTTTCCAAACGAACAAAAATTCATCCAACATTGGTAGTAACCAGTTTAAATTAGCATATACAATAAAAGTAGGTGCGAACACAACCCAGAGCTGCTTTCCGTTCGTATATTAACCCCAGATAATAGCCGAACAAGTTTTATAGGAACCAGTCCTTAACCCGTTTCATTTAACTTCCATCCATGAAGTTCTCCTGCGCAGTGAAAGTCAAATTTACAAAAATCCCAAATTCCCCGAAGTCAGCATCCCAGATTTATACTAGCCCAGTTGACTTAATGAGGCAGAATCCCTTAAGGGCTTAGTTCTACTTGGCAGCGCTTGTCAGTCTAATCTGGCCACTCTCTCTGTGAAAGTTTGTTTCAATATAATAGACATTGTTCACGGACACTCACGAGATCAAAGTTTGAAATCCCTCGCATTATGTCAGTCAGGTATGTGTGTATGCGCTAAGGGATTAGGAATAATATCTATTACATGCATAGGTTTACCAAAAAGAAAATTGGTTTCACTTGTTTCCATAGCATATTAACTAGCAAATCCGCGCATTTTCCATCCGATTTGCAGTCCAATCTACGTCAGTTTCTGGACAACGTGAAGAATGGCGAATGCGATAAGGTTACAAAATGGCTGAACAAAGGTTTGGATCCCAACTTTCAGTGGAAAGACATGGGAGGTGAGCTTTTTGGCCGCGAACTGGATTGCCTATTGTGATGCCATAATAATACCGCGTTTTAGTGGGTAACTCTTATCTGTAAAGCTTACGTCGTTTTTAGGTGAGGTCCATTTTTTGAAGGACAATTCAGGGGATGGTTCATTTACAGTCATTTTTCAATAGATCACGAAAATAATTAGAGAGACTGAGTTGGGCTCCGTGCAACAACAGCAACGCTACCACCTCCTGTAATTTAGGTAGTGAGGCGGAACACATAAGCAACTGCCAACTTGCTTGTAACGTGCTTCTTTTATGCAGAAGCGGTGGGATACGTAGTAAGCTTGCACAGATTTCATCATTTACGATTCACAAAACACACGGGACTTGCGTGGTTGCAAACACTCGTATGGAATCCACTGCTCAAAAATCTAAGCAGGCTTTTTTCTCGCAAAATTCACTTCAACAGAAAAAACATACTCCTCTTTATTTTTATTTAGAAACCCCGCTCACATTGGCCATCAAGTTGGCCAAACCACGTGATATGGTTATGACTTTGGTGTCTGGAGGTGCACATTTGGATTACCGAGCTGCAGATACAATGACTCCGTTGCACAAGGCCGCCGTGGCGGGAAACTATGAAGCTATAAAAGTAAGTTCCCGACACAATGCTACTTATAAGGTAGTATATACATATATTTATATACCTCACCAGCGTCTTTTCCTCATCACTCAGCAACTGGCTTGGAAGCTGCCGACCTTGGGCTCCACACTGCTTTAGGAGCTCGGTTTATTCGTCACCGCTGATTTGATAACAGGATATCTTTGTACTCCAAAAATACATCCCCATCATTGCTGTGACCAGAAGTAGGAAAGGAGCTGTATATCTATGGTTGTACTGTGAGACAGCTTTACGGATAGGGAGATATTTGAAACCAGACAGCGAGCGCATCGTGTGAGAAATACTACGGGGTAATAAGTAGCCTAGTGGGGAATTGCAGACGGTGCAGCCCGCGGCGGCTGTACCCTCTTCGGGGCTCAAAATTTTCCGTCTTACATATCTGATATGAACATCAAACCTTGGATGTATTAGCTTCGTGAAAACACTGTAGGTGCTAGTGTCCACTGAGAAATCGATCTCAATGAATTGAAGTTTCATTCAAGGCTCGTTCAAATATCCCGGTGGAACCACTTGAAACTTAGACTGGTTTATATATATATATATATATATATATA